ACGACGCGACGCTCCCATCGACTACCTCTAAATGGCGGTGACGTCAATTGGAATGCGACGTTGCGCGAAAATTAACACTGAAAATTTTCGACAGAAAATCAAATTTAACATGAAAACATCTTGAAAAACACATTTTTTTTCTCTTTATTTTCAGAAGTTCATTCTCTACTGACTGATTGAAAAGTTTCAGTGCACCAGAAAGAATGCGTTCGCTATTTTCAGCGCTCAAAGCGCACTCAGAAGATTGCAGCTAAAGATTTTTGATCAACAAAGCGCCCAAATTTACTCACCCAACAATAAACCTTTTTTTGAAACCCTATTTTTTGCAGGTGTTTCCCCCATTCCTCATTGCCTTTTCCTCAATTTCCCTCATTCTTTTCCCGCCTTTGAATGGCCCAAAAGGACGTGCGACACGCTGAATTGGCTCCACCAATTTGCGAGACAGGAAAAGAGCTGAAGAAATTTGGAGAAGGGGAAAGAAATCGGCAAATTTCTCCTTCACTCAAAATGAAAATGGATCTCTGACTTCAATTTCTCCGCCTACTCCTTGAAGTTTTCAGCCGTTCAACTGAATAGCTGAAGAAAAGACAATTCTTACTTGGCAGAATATCTTTTACTGGATTGAGGAGCTTTTACAGTATTCTTTGGATTCTTTACAGTATTCTTTACTGTATTCTTTACTGTATTCTTTGCAGTATTCTTTTACTGTATTATTTTACTTTTACAGTATTCTACTAAATCTCTTTAATCCTTGCTTAACTGAATATCTTTATTCTAACAGAAACTAGCCACTAATCAGCCATTTGAGCCATTGATCAGCCATTTGAGCCATCGATCAGCTATTTCAGTCTTTTACAGTACTCCATTCACTGAATATCTTCAATATTCAATAACTGAATATCTTCAATTCGGCTGTGTTTATTCGGTGAATAGCCTTTGGTCATTCCCGTCGTCTCATTCCAGTCATTCAACTAAATACCTCAAAAAGCTATTCATTTCGGAAGCAATACCCTTCAGGGTAAAGCTATTTCTTAACTGAATATCTATTTTCTATTTCCTTATGTCACCAGCTTATTCGTAAATCCTGGCTCCTGACACGTTTATGTCCTCAACCTCTCCTTTTCCGTCGCGAGCCGTCCCAAGACGTGTCTGGGTACTATGTGAGTTGAAAAACTGATTACTGATTGACTCTAGATGACTCTAGATGTCTCTAGATGACTCTAGATTGACTCTAGATTGACTCTAGATGACTCTAGATTGACTCTAGATGATTCTAGATTGACTCTAGATGACTCTAGATAACTCTAGACGACTCTAGATGACTCTAGATTGACTAGATGACTCTAAATGACTCTAGCTGACTCTAGATTGACTAGATGACTCTAAATGACTCTAGATTGACTAAAGGAAAAGATTGATATTGATATTGATATGACAAACGATTATACTTACTGTAAATACTTTAATAGAAGCTCTATAGGAGCTATAGACTGACAAATAAACAGCTCTCAGTTAGGAAAACAATTCAAAAATTGATCTAATATTCAATGCTGATGTTAAACACTCTAAAGATACGATAAACAATCGTTGGATTGTTTATCGTATCTTTATCGTATGTTTATCGTATCTCCGCCCACTCCTTGAAGTTTTTAGCCGTTCGTTTACAGTCATTTAAACATCGAATGACTAAACTTGGTGTAAAAGTACGTATATATAAGTACGTATAAGTACGAAAACTGAAGAATTCTCAATCTACTTGCTTTTCGCGTTTTTTTTGAAAATTTTTCTTTCAAATCTTCCTAAGCCAATTAGCAAGATGAACAAAAAGAGTAAAAAAGTGTAAAAAGAAACCTTTCGCCTTTCAAGAATCAAAGTTAATCCCTTTTCTTTTAATGATTTTCATTTTTTTTGCCATTTAGTTTACTCAATTTCCTCTTAAAACTGTTCCTTTCGGTTTTCTCATTGTCATTGCCGGAAATTGCACACAAATCTTTTGCAAAACGAAGCTCAGATTTCTTCCCCATTCGGTTTTTAGTGAATAAGATTTCTGAAGATTCGCCAAATAGTCTAAAATTCCAAAATTCCAAAGAAGTAAAGAAATTGACAAGAAAAAGTGGGCAAGTAAAAGAAATAAAAGAGAAATTTTGATCTAAATTGGGATCTTCTATTGGAGAAAGCTCATTGGAATCAATACGGAATTGGAATATGTTTAACAGATAGGAAATTCATTAAAAACCCTTCTCTGTATTGGCTAAGGTCAATCAATGGTCCAATTGGCAATGGTCCAATTGGCAATGGTCCATCCAATTGGCAATGGTCCATCCAATTGGCAATGATCCATCCAATTGGCAATGATCCATCCAATTGGCAATGATCCATCCAATTGGCAATGATCCATCCAATTGGCAATGATCCATCCAATTGGCAATGATCCATCCAATTGGCAATGATCCATCCAATTGGCAATGATCCATCCAATTGGCAATGATCCATCCAATTGGCAATGATCCATCCAATTGGCAATGATCCATCCAATTGGCAATGATCCAATTGGTTCATTATCTCTTTCCCAAGATAAAGAATATGTTGCAAGAATTCATCATTCATTCATCCTTTCTAATACAAATATATCTTTGAATTCTTTGCTCAAGATTGATTCTTTACCTATTTTATCCTCTTTTCCTTTGTAAATGTGCTCTATTGTAAATGTGCTCTATATTTAACAGATAGGAAATTCATTAAAACCCTTCTCTGTATGGCTAAGGTCAAAGCAAAGCAAAGTATTCTGGTTTCCTTGGTCAAAGCAAAGCAAAGCAAAGGTACAGATTTGGTTCCATTGGTACAAATTTGTTTCCTTTTCTCTACAGATTTGGTTCCTTTTCGCTTCTCCACGGATTTGGTTCCTTTTCTCTACAGATTTCGTTCCACTTTGGTACCGATTTGGTTGCATTTTGGTACAGATTCTAATTCCGTTGGTATAGCTTTAGAAAAGGTCAACCATGAGGTTAGAGTTCTGCAGGCTTAGGCTTAAATGAAATAGATAAAAGTATCGTTATTCATTCAACATTTAAAAGTATCTTCATTCAACATTACGTTCTTTTCTTTTTTCTTTTCTTCCTTTTGTCCACTTCTTTTGTCACCTAAAATCGCTTTGCTCATGTTTTGCTCATCAATTTCTTTGCTTACCTTAATAATTCTTGCAGCTCTTTGTTCAGGTAACAAAAAGAATCTCCCCGAATTAATCAATGCCAATTGGCAATGATCCAATTGGTCCATTTCCTCTTTCCCAAGATAAAGAATATTTTGCAAGGAATTAAATAGGAACTATAAAGGAGCTTTAAAGGAACTTTAAAGGAGCTAGAAAGGAGTGTTAAAGGAGCTTTAAAGGAACTTTAAAGGAGCTAGAAAGGAGCCTTAAAGGAGCTTTAAAGGAGCTTTAAAAGAGCTTTAAAGGAGCTTGAAAGGAGCTTTAAAGGAGCTTTAAAGGAGCTTGAAAGGAGCTTTAAAGGAGCTTGAAAGGAGCTTTAAAGGATTCATTCATCCTTTCTAATACAAATATATCTTTGAATTCTTTGCTTAAGATTGATTCTTTGCTCAAGATTGATTCTTTACCTATTCTATCCCCTTTTCCCTTGTAAATGTGCTATATTTGGGTGTTTTATGTATAAAATTGAAGGCCAAAGGGGTTCTTTTATGAGAAAATTCCCTTTTCTAGCATATTCTCTCAGAAATTCGCGGCTTTATTCTCTTTCTTTTAGACAATGATTTATTTTGTCTCATGAAAGTAATTCTTTTTACAGAATGCTAAAAAACAATCTGTTTCACTGCTCATTCTATTGATCAGCTTTGTTTTTTTCATTTTTTAACAGACTGATCAATAGAGATCAATCAATTATGAATCCTTAAAATTTAAATTCTAATTTCAAAGAATGTACAAGTAAAATTAGGTACTCCGAAAAATGACTTAATTCTTAATGATTTTCAATAGCAAAATTATTAAACAACAATCAAAATAGCACCGTTAGAATTGCATTTTTGTACTAATACATTTTTTGCCAACGAGTAGCCAGTTTCTCGATCCCTGAAGCAAAAAAGTCTGAGTGTCTAGAGGCGATGAAGTCTTTGATAGCATTTTTCAACTTTGACTTTGAAAGTCGTGTCCTCTTGTCATCAAGATCCTCGTCTCCTTCCCGAAATCGTTTGAACCAAACTTGAGCGGTCCTAACAGAAGTAGCCTCATGACCAAATGCACAATTGATGTTTTCGCAACCTTTGCACTCTGTCCAAGCTTTAACTCATCCAAACACTCATCCCGTGCTCCCGTCTAACGTCCCGTGCCCTGTCTAACATCCCGTGCTCCGTCTAGCGTCCCGTGCTCCGCGCTGATTTATGCTACAATGTGCGCTTTAGTGTTAAAAGATAGCGCTTGAAATCTAGTATTAATATATTCTTTTGCTACCAAAATATAGTTGGGAAAAAGCTAGAAACAGGAAAAAATCTATGATTGGATTGGATTGGATTGGAAATTTACGCTAATTGATTTTGGCAAATTTACTCTTACTGGAAACTGGAATTTACTGGAAAATTTATCAAATAATCTTCAGTTTACCAACAAAAATCCACTAAAAAAGTCAATTTTAAAAGAAAAATCATTGCAAAAACCTCTTGAAAAATGGCCAGATCAAAATCAAACAAAAAAAAGCGCAAAAATTTTCCTTTGGGACAGCTGGCTTCATTTTTTCAGCTTTACCCTTTTCCCCAGCTCATTTTTTTTCACGATTGATCTCAGGGCCCAATCTATTAACCCAATCCAATCGAACACCAGAAAATTCTCCAATGTTTTCTTGAACCTAAAGAATTGCTGATCTTGAATTCTTTGAGCTTGAATTCTTTGAGCTCTTCTTTGAGCTGGAATTCTTTGAGCTCTTTGAGCTCTTCTTTGAGCTTGAATTTTCTATATGACCCACACGGTGAACTATTGCGTTTTACGGCCTGGCTCGATGCGGAAAAAGAAAAGATTCAGTTCGAACGATGAGGCGAGCACAGGTTAAAGAAATTTCACATTGTAGCTAGTCGAATTTATTTCACTTTTTAAAACCCAGTGATCAATTTGAATTGTTGACTAGGGTGTCAACAAGAGAACCAACAAGAGAACCAACAATTTCCATGTGTAATCCTAGTGTAATGACTTTTTTTTTGGATTACGGGGTTGTGCAGAAAACATCTATTTTCTACGAGTCAAAATAGTGAGTCAAAGATTATTTTACTCGAGTAATCACTTACTTGCGAGGAACACAATCTAGTAGTAAAGGCTAGTAGTAAAGGCTGTAAAGGCTAGTGTAGCCTAGCACGCTGGCAGAGTTGTGCTTTATAATTGATCTGGCAGAGTTGTGCTTTATAATTGAATTAAATTCAGAGCAAAGCCAGAAAAAGTCGGATAATTTTGTTGAAAATGTCAAACTCAGTTAGTAAAAAAATTACTCATGCAAATTTACTCGAGTAATTACTTACTTACGAGGAACACAATCTAGTAGTAAAGGCTAGTAGTAAAGGCTGTAAAGACTAGTGCCTAGCACGCTTCCACTTTGCCACAAGCTCACATTTGGAAAACGATAAAGAAAGTTTTTAAAGCTTTTAAAGCTTTTAAATATAGCTTTTAAAGCTTTTAAATATAGCTTTTAAAGCTCTTAAATATAGCTTTTAAAACCCCATACCTAGGTTACCCCATACCTAGGTTACCCCATACCTAGGATACCCCATACCTAGGTTACCCCATACCTAGGTTACCCCATACCTAGGATACCCCATACCTAGGTTACCCCATACCTAGGTTACCCCATACCTAGCTATGGGGTAACTTCACCTTTCAGTACTGAACCCTTACTGAATCTTCAGTAAGAAATATAGAATCTTTTTGTAAACTTACCGATAAAAACATAGAGAAAATTAGTGTCAAAGTTGAGAGAACTGTATCTAGGAATAGGGTATCGGGTATGGGGTATCGCTTAAACATTGCTTTTAAAAGCTTTTAAACATAGCTTTTAATAGCTTTTAAACATCGGCCATTTTGGTCAATATTTCTATGCCAAATATCTCACGCTACAGAATCTCAAAACTAAAACCAGATTCGGAGTCAGCTTAAAAAGTTCTATCACTGGTTTCATTTTCAAAAACCACTTTTACCTGATGGCTTTCCCTTGTAAGTTATCGATTTTTTTTTTCGTTTATAAAAACGATTTTGTCTTATTCGATGTCTAAAAACGATCTTTTCTTCATCTTGGCTCAAATTCAGAAAATGACCAAAGGTTCTCACCTCTTTTTCCCCCTTTTTCATCATTTGAAATCCGATCCATTTCAGTTCAATTCTTGTGTCGATTTGAGGATCTTCAAACAGAAAAAAATAGAGAAATCCATTCGATTTCTTCCCACACATTTCATCGAAAAAAAAAATAGAAATTAGGGATCAAATTTAAGCTTATTTTGATATGAATAACGAATCGTTTACTGTAGATTCTTTTTGAGAAAGTGCAAGACATCTGGCAAACCGTCTGGCAAACTGTCTGGCAAACCGTCTAGCAAACCGTCTAGCAAACCGTCTAGCAAACTGTCTAGCAAACCGTCTAGCAAACCATCTAGCAAACCGTCTGGCAAAGCTAATCGTTTTTTTGGCTTATTTACCCAACTGAGAAAATATCAGAATGATTTTTACTAAAAAAAATTGTTAATCAAGGATCTAATATCCCATTTTCTTGATCTCAACCCAGAAAAAAAAAGATTGATTCGAATTTTTTCGCAAAAGCGAATCAGGTGTTCGTTCTTGAGAAAGACAAAGAGATTGATTGGGAGCTGATCGAAAAGATTGGGAAAAGAAAGGAAAGCAATGATTAGAAAAATCGAAGATTGAAGATTTCTGCTTCAAGCTGCTGGGTAACTAAATCAGAGCATTTTCTAGTCCTTTCGGTTTACCAGAAGAGAAATGTAACAGATTTGAACACAAAGGACTTCAGCCTTAGCGTTTAGAATGTAAAAAAAGTAAAAAATTAATTAAGGCTTTTGGGGAAATCTGCTTGTAACTGCTGTAAACTTGTAGCTCGTGGGATTTTTGTGATCTAAATTGATCTAAACTTAAGCTGGAAAAGAAGAATTTTCTTCAAAAATCTCTAAAATTTTAACGAAAAGCTGCACTCATTTTTTAACGAGTAATTTCTTGGAGTCTACTTGTAAATAATAGAACAAAATGTTCATGAATTCGTGGTTTTGTTTTGAAGAAATTCTAGTCAAACTTTTTATGAGAACTTTCTTTCCAACTTAATAGCTCATCAATCCAGCTCCAGCTCCAGCTCCAGCTCATCAATGATCTCCACCTCCAGCTCATCAATGATCTCCAGCTCCAGCTCCAGCTCATCAATGATCTCCACCTCCAGCTCATCAATGATCTCCAGCTCCAGCTCATCAATGATCTCCAGCTCCAGCTCATCAATGATCTCCAGCTCCAGCTCATCAATGATCTCCAGCTCCAGCTCCAGCTCATCTCCAGCTCTTTAAAAAATGCTCAAACCTCCACAAAATAAAACCCATCAAAAGATAGCAGAAAGTGATGGTGGCAACGAGGCAACGAAATTCGCGTAAACGATGATCACCGTGTACACAAAACTTGGCACAACCGGCTTAAATGCTAATGAGGTGCCGTTTTCCTAAACTTTTGTCTAATCACTTCTTTCTGATATCACAGACGATTCCTAGTTGATTATAGGCGCCGACTTGAACAAAAATGAAAATTTTCTAAACTACTACATTTACTGAGTAAAAATCTTAGAAGATTAAGAAGAGCAGGTGCAATTTTTGCAGAAATATTATTAAACAGTCGCTTCTTTTTTACAATAGTCGATTCATGTTTTGAAATTTGGAATTATTTCCATTGTTTTTGCATTTATTGCTTTGTATGTACTTTGTAATGTACTTTGTAATGTACTTTGTGCCCAAATCTGTAAACGCGTGCCATTCAGCGCACTGGAAACTCAATTTTCACTTAATTTTCTTCAAATTAAATCATAAATTGTGAAATCCGGTGATTTCATGTTATTTTTCTATAGACCTTCGACTTGAATGCTATTTTTTTTCCAATTTTCTTGGCCTTGGTCTCTTTTTTTTTCTTTTAGCTTCTTGGAATCGAACACACCACTAATTGACTTCGAGAAAGGATCCAATACTCTTTTTTTTTCTCTTTAAAACCAAACACCTACACGTAGTTGTTTCCCCAATTGAGGCAATTTCCCTATTTTTCTCCTTAAATGCTCTCAAAACGATCTAATCGATGGCCTTTGTTGATGCCAGGTTTGAAATCTTTTGGTAGAACAAGTTTGGTGTGCTTTGTGCAGCTAAACGCACTCTCTCTCTCTCTCTGGTGGACTCGATTGGGTAATTAAACCGCTTTACAAGCCTGTCAAAGCGTTTAGTATGTCAAATCGCTCACGTTTACGCTTCAGGGAACATAGTTGTTGGCAAAAAAACCTAATAGAAAAAAATCTTATTTTACAGCTTGAAAGGTGTAATTGTTCATCTCAAAATTCTTTCACTTTAACTAAAATTTAACGATCGATTCGAACGAACGAACGAACGATAATAAAACCAAAATTCCCGCGGTTCGAGTACGGGTTGGCAACTTTCCAACGATAAATTCTAAAATACACCTAACCTACCGTACTCGAGACAGCGTCTCCCTTCCTCCCCCCGAAATTCCATTGCTGTAAAATTCTTGCTTTTCGAATCGTCGCAAGCAAATCGTTGCCCTGCTTGGCGCTTGCACTGTGCCTTCTGCGCTTATATGTTCCCCTTTCTCTATCCTGTTCTGTTTATTGTTTAAAATTCTGTTTATTGTTTAAATTCCCCTCCTTTTCTTATTGTTCCCACCACTCCTTTCGTGTTTCTGGGGGTGGGACAAATGCGACCTTCTTTTGCGCACCTGGACATTTGCGCACCTTTTTTTTTGCTGGAAAAGGCCTTAGGAAAGGTCGTAGAGCTTTAAAAATGTTTTCATATAGGGGAATCGTATGCGTAGATTCCGAATTTCGACAAATCAGACCTCGCTGACACGTCAAATTTGGACTAAAAGGCAAAAACTACGCAACTTAACGCTTTTCCGCAGTTTTCGCCTTTTAGCCCAAATTTGACGTGTCGGCGAGGTCTGATTTGTCGAAATTCGGAATCTACGCATACGATTCCCTTATATGGAAATATTTTCGAAGCTCTACGGCCTTGCCTAAAGCCTTTTCCAGCAAAAAAGGTGCGCAAATGTCCGGGTGCGCAAAAAAAGCTAGCATTTGTCCCACCCTTGTAAAAATTGTTAAAGTTTTAGAGTTTTTGTACTTTTCTCAGTTCTTTCTTTCTTCTTAGTCTTATTTACACTTATTTGACCCATGTCTTTCATCGATAAAGATTAAAAAACTAAATATCTTTTCTCGATAAACGCCAGTCAATCTAACCCCAGCCCCGAATCGTCTTGTTCTTCTCATTTTGAAAATTATTTAGAATTGGTGTTTCTGGGTTAAAAGATTTAGCAGTTTGGATAAGATTTTGACCTAGAATTTTGAAAACGATTTGCATTTTTGGAGCCGTAACATGTTACTCATTTCTAGGTCGCGAGGACCGTGCTCAGATGTGGTCAACGGGTGGCACGGCTTTTCACACATCATTCGACGAGCGTCCTTCAGCACATGGATCGCATCTCTCCATTTACAACTCATGCACGAATCTCGATGAACAGGTGAGTCAAAGTTTGGTATTAGATTGGCAATAAATCTTGACAATTTTTCTCAAATTTTTGTTTCCATGGAAAAGCATTCTTTACCAAATTTCTTGTCAAATTTGCTGCGTCAAAACTATCAAAAAGATCATTTCTCTGCAAAATGCCTTTTAAGAGAAAGCTCAAAGCTCACCTTAATTCAGTAAAAAGGCCTTTTGTAAATTTTACTCATTTTAATACTCAATTACTCATTTTAAAGAAAATGACTGAACGGATTGTTTTCAATTTTTACAGACTTATGTAACCAAATGAGCTCTATCTTTTTAGCACCAAAATGGCACCAAAATAGCACTAAAATAGAGCGCTAAAATAGGTTTGTATTGAGCTCTATCTTTTTAGCACCAAAATAGCACCAAAATAGCACTAAAATAGAGAGCTAAAATAGGTTTGTATTGAGCTCTATCTTTTTAGCACCAAAATAGCACCAAAATAGCGCTAAAATAGGTTTGTATTGAATTGAACAGTTTTGTGCTCTCCTTTGAAAAACTACAAAAACAACTACTTCCAAGAATTTCTTAAAAGCCATTTTGCAGAGAAACAATTAACTCATTTAATAGTTTAAATAGAAATTTGGTTGGTGGCGGTATTATTTGTAAAAAACGTTTGGAAAAAAATTGTAAAGACAAACCTAATACTAATAAACTTCATGAAACTTTGACCCGATTTGGTCAGATCCTATTCTAAACATGTTTTTTCTAGTCTTTTTTGCATTTTTTGCATTTTCTGGAGTAATCTTAATCGATTGACGGTATTTTTAGAATATTTTGAACAAGTTAACACTTTGTATTTTGCCGCTCTCTTCATTTTTAAGCTTAGCGACATTGCAGAGGCAAAAACTTCAGCTAACTCCAGTTGGCTTATCAAATATCGATAAAAATTGTTCAAAAGCTTCTAAAAATATTGTCAATAGATTTATCATGCTTGATTGCACTAGAAAAAATAAAATAACGTTGGTAAAATAGTCACAAAATACGATCTGGTCAACCAAATCAACCAAAATGGATCAAAGTGGGCTGAAAATTTCCAAGATTTCAACTTTACATCAAGCAAAGGATGGTATCAATTGAAAATTTTGCAAGAATTTAAAATTTTGTAAGCGTAGCAGTAGGAAATTTGAAATTCAAACTCGGATTCCAGCTATTTTTAGGGCAGTTAGTTTTAGTTTTAGACCACGCATTTTTAGAAGTGTTTAAAGTAAAATTTTAATGCTTTTCACCAGCACACACCTGTTTTTTGTCATTCTGTTCATTTTTTAAACCCAAACATCACTCTCCGATTTCACTTTTGTAATCGTAAGTGTCATTTTTTAAACTTTTTCTACTCTTACTTTGTTTTCAAGTTTCTTGACGCAATGAAATCACCTTAGTAGATTATCCAAAGAAAATCTTTTGGCTCGGTTTAGTGGAAGATCCAACAAAGTTCCAAAAATAGTCATCTTTTACTTTTGCTGGGATTATCTTTGACTATATAATGAGCCTGAAACCGGTTCATGTTTTTGTGTCTGTCTGTCTGTCTGAAAAGTTTTTATAGACCGGGTAATTGAACCAAGCACATTCAAGTTACAAAATATCAGATTTTTTTAGGAATTTCAAGTTATTCGAACGATTTTCTTGTGATCTTCCAAAAGCCACTCGTTTTCCTCGTAAAGTCATTCCATTTGACGTTTGTCCTTGATTCGAATTTCCGTCTAAAGCCGCTATCCAACTTTGAATGAAACTTGGTACAAAAAAATATAATTATTTCAGAAATAGAAACCTTCTATTTTCCAATGAATCATCGCAAAGTTACCCAGTGATCGCGAATTCTAGCGACAACTTTGTGGAAGTGTAGCTGGGAAATGTCTAATTCGTTTCAAAAGTGTCAAGTGTTAGATAGAGAATTGTAGGCCTTAATCTTGGCTACATTTCTCTGCCAGAAACTCTCGGATTGGCCTGATGCAACTCATTTAACAAGCGCTTGAATGAGCGCTAGTCGATTTCTCTGACGATCTGCCATTTTTCACGATTTTCTACATTAAAAAAAATTCACTTTCAGTCAAATTTGTAGCAAGAACAGCTGATATAACGAGAGCTGAAGATCGAAAGTCTCAATTTTCATCTTTTTTCCCTGCTCCTCCCTCTCAACTTAAATTCTGGTTATACCAGTTCAACCAAAGCAATTAAATGTAATTCTTAATGTTATTCAGTGATAAGCTATTTTTGCATTAAAGAAATATTTAAAAACTTAACAATTTTGGAGAAAAGCGGTCAAATGATCGCTGGAGACTGGCGCTCATTCAAGCGCTTGTTAAATGAGTTGCATCAGGCCAATCCGAGAGTTTCTGCCAGAGAAATGTAGCCAAGATTAAGGCCTACAATCCTCTATATAACACTTGCCACTTTTAAAATGAATTAGACATTTCCCAGCTACTTTTCCAAAAAGTTATCCCTAGGATTCGCTAGCTCGTTTCCTCTCGATTTTCTCTGCTCCAGATCATTTAAACAAGCTCTATTTGGTATCATTCGAAAGCCTGAAATCTCCTCTATCTAACGATATAAAAAGTTAGCAATAATGTTATCTCTGGGTAAAGTTATGGGCATTCAAAGTTTGGCCACCCATACAATGCCTCTGTTTCTAGGTAATCGAAATTCCTCCAAATTTTCAATTCTAATGCAATTTTAAGCCTTTTTCACGAATCTGAAGCAAAATTTCCAAAAATGACTCTCAAATTCAATGCAAATTCCAAAAGAGTTCTATTTTTCCCTTTTCTTCACCTAAAATTGCCTTTTGGCATCACTGCCGGTCTAATTTCATTTCATTTTTCTTTCTTTCTTTCTTTCTTTTTTTCTCTTTGTTTCTTTCTTTCTCTTTGTTTCTCAGCTTTTTTTTTACTCTTTTTACGTTTTTCTTTACAAATTCCAGGTTTTCATCGGTTTTTCTCTATTTCCTCTTTATTTTCCTTTTTTTCTTTCAGAAAATCTCGAATCAGGAAATTTTTTGGCTTGCTTGGCTGTTTCAAGATATTCAATTGAAAAATGGATTCTCTAAAGTTCTCAGGAATCTCAAATTTATATAAAATGACCGTAAACTGTTCTTCTATTGGGTTACGGTAGCTTTTTCTCATTGAAATTCGTAAATCAGGCAAATCAGACGTAAACAGAAGGACTGCGTTTCCGCGCTCTTTGTGAGCACAAAGTCCAAGGAACACGTCACTTTGATCTTGTGTGAGTTCTCGAAAATTGAAAAAAAATGATTCGAACTCTCATTATCTTCCTTTACTCGCAATTTTTTGATCCTTTTTGAGCTAATGAAACTCATTATCTACTCACATTTTTTTTGCTTTTTAACTATTTGAAGAAAAATTTCATTCAAAATTCATCACTTCTTAGAATTTAGAATTCAAAATCAAGCCTTTGAAATGTACTTTGTGATTAGATTCGTAATCACTCTTTCTGGTGCACTGAATGCATTCATTTTCTCATACAATGAGAACAAAGGACATTTCATTATGCTTTTTTCTTTACATTAACCTTAAAAATACTTCCTTCTTCTCAAAAATTGCCTTAATTTTTCAGCCATTCTTGTCTAGTTAAATTCCTTTTCAGAAAAAAGCTATCAGCCTTTTTCTACACTAACGAACTCTCAATGATCTTTTTGTTATCCTTTTTCCTTTGAAAGATCCGGAACTTTTTCAGACTTGAATAGACTTGTTCTTTGAAGTTTACTTTAAAATAAACGCCTATCTTCTGGTGTACTGAATTCTTTAATCTATTATAAATAAAAGAGCGCGCAGGACGTCGGTATGCGCTTTTTCTTAGTCGTCTTTAGGAAAGAAAGCTACAACTTCTTTAGAAAATCTTAGGATATAATATATTGGGTTGGGGACTATGACTCGGCGCCAAACTTTAAAGGGACTTTTTGCACACATAAAGCCTTCTTTAAACATACGTTTGGTTTCATCAAAAGGATCCACTATTTCTCTACAAAATGACTTTTGAGAGATTCCACAAAGCTTTTCTTTCGTGGAGTTTATGGACTCCCAAACACAGCTAGTCAAAATGGCAAAGAGCCCGACTCATCATTTGAACAGTTTCTTTCACATAAACCTTCTTTGGTGTTTATATAAAAAAGATAGAGCACATTCAATTACTTAAGTTGCCAAATTTGCAGGAAGATCCCACCAATGGTTTTTTCTAGATCACAGTTTGTAGTTTTTGTGAAAAAATGGCTTTTTCTTGAGCGGAGGCGCTGTTTGAATTTTCTTTCAAATGTCATTTTGTAGAGAATTCGTTAACCATTCTACTCATATCAAACGCATATTATTTGACGAAGTCGAATAGAAGTTTTAGACATTTTTTTGATTTTCGGCGCCGAGTCATAGTCCCCAACCCAATAGTTTGCTATTTAAAGTGAAAAAAATAAAAATTGACTGGTACTAAGGGAGGTCGAACCCGGATCGTTTGGGTCCGGCCGGGCGGATGACGGGCCTCATCGCCGTAGCGCAGTCAGGAGCGCGCTTGTCTATCGCCCACGCGCTCCGGGATAGACAAGCGCGCTCCCGACTGCGCTACGGCGATGAGGCCCGTCATCCGCCCGACCCGACCCACACGATCCGGGTTCGGCTCCCCGTAGTGGCGCACAACTTTGACTTTTTGGATTTGATCTACATTTTATAATCTATTTTGGTATATTTAGGCTTTATATATGTCGTAGGCGATTATGAATGAAATTTTTTGGTAAATCTTTCTAGTAGAGCAACCCTTTAATGTATGAGGACAATATTATATCATCCTGTAGCGAATTAAATTCTGCGTCGATTGGTACCAAATTTGTGAGTTTAGGTTAAAAATTGCCGGCGCTACAACGTTTCATTCAAAATCGGCGGGACCCCCGTAGCCGATTATGAATGAGTGGGTCTAGGAGCGTCCAATCATCAAGTATTTAGTATCATTCAACGCAGAATCATTAATAATTATGTTAAATTTTTAAAATTAGAAAGATTTGATAAAAAGAAAAAAAAATTAGAGCAAAAAACTGTTTATTCAAGAGGAAACTTTGAGGCCCCATAATTTTTTTTCTTTTTATCCAATCTTTCTAATTTAAAAAATTTAACATAATTATTAATGATTCTGCGTTGAATGATACTAAATACTTGATGATTGGACGCTCCTAGACCCACTCATTCATAATCGGCTACGACATATACAACCCCCGCTTGTCTCGTGTCTCGTTTGCAAATTCGCGAGCATAAAGTACATTCTAAAGAGCTGTGCTCTCGCTCTCGCTTTAGAGCTGTGCTCTAAAGAGCTCTCGAGAAAAACGAAGAATTCAGTGCATTAGGAACAAATGAGCACAAAATTAAACTCCCAAAACACGTTTGAACTTGTTCAAGGGTGTACTTTGTGCTCAAATCGTGTGAACGAACACGGTTTCTAGCGCACTCTTGTCTCATGAGCTTTAAACACGCCAGAAAGTGTGCGTTTACAAAGTCGCGAGCATAAAGTACATTCTAAAGAACTCCTTTTCAAAACCGGTTTCCGAAATTACCCCAATTTTCTTGATCCTTGAGCACTAGATCAACAAAAAGCCCTCCTTGAGCCCTAAAATAATAAGTGGAATTTATTTTAGGATTGAAATTAAAAAAGAAAAAAGCTCCCCAGTCCCAAATTTCATCTCATTTGCAACCTTTTCTACATAAAAATTCGAAAAAGAATTCAAAATACTTCAAAAAAACTCAAAAAACACTCAAAATACATTTGCTATTTGAGAAATTCGAATTTTAAATGATTTTTAAATGATTTTTCAATGAATTTTCAATGAATTTTCAATTTCACAAGTTCATTTTCCTTACCCAGATCGAATTTTTTGAGTAAAATGTCTGTTGAATTGTTAAAAATTTAAAAAATTTACCTTAAAAGAACAGAAACTGGTGTGAAAATCGTTAAAATTGTCGAAATTTCCGAAATTTCCGAAATTTTCAGAAGAATTTGGTATTTTACCCGCTTTTATCTCATATTTTTCAATGAAAACTGGCGGATTTTCGTGAAATTTTTGAACTTTTTGAACTTTTTGAACTTTTTATCTCTTTTGTTGTTTAAAGTTTAAAAATTTCCTCTTTTCTGGCGATTTTTCCTCAAGTTTCATTGCATTTTCAAGCATTTCTAAGAATATTTTTGGCTTCTAAAAGTATTCTTTTATTTCCTAAGACCAAAATTTCCCCCAAAACATCACTTTTTCTCGTTCTCTTCAAGTGAAAAATAGAAAATTATTAATTTTTAGTTATTTTTAGTGGTTTTTGGTGGTTTTTGGTGGTTTTTAGTTATTTTTAGTGGTTTTTGGTGAAGCCATAGAAGATTTTAATAATAATTTCTTGATTGAATATCTTTTTTTAAGTGGAATTACGATATTTGATTGGCAGAGGGAGATTTTAGAGGAGTCATTTGATGGGGGCTTTTTCGGGGCCGTGCCAAATGGCTTCCTTGGCTAAGTGGCTAAGCACTAGGTCTTCCACTCACACGATCATGGTTCGATCTCTCTAGCGGTCAATTTTCTTTGCAATTTTTACTTTTCTTCTTTTCCATTGTTTTATTCGATTTCTAGAGTATCCCCAATCTCATTTCTTTCTTCCATTTCC